GGAAAACAATTGTGGTTCTTTCTTTTAATTGGAGGGTGAAGGAATTTTTCTGTGTTTGCTCGTGTCAATGTGTCTGTCACAATTGCATGTGATTTCGGTCGGCAGTGCGTGTGTGTATTGTCGTGTCGAGGCGTTATCAGGAGTAGATATCGGCGTCTCCGAGTGTTGTTCTCCTGCGTTTCCGCGTCCGTTACAGATTAACAGCTCCTACAGGTTACAAGATTTATTTCACGGTAGGCGGGGAATTTGGCTTCCCACATAATTAGTGTAAATAGTTATGGCAGATTTCATTGTAACGTGCTCATCGCTCTCTCTCGCTCTCTCTCTGTACGGCTTTAACGTGTGGTAATGTCGTGTAAATTCCTCCCTAAGTGTGTGCAAAGCCGTTTGGTTAAGTTATATGGGTTTTCTTTGTGCTTGTATCAACTGTTCTGATTTTGAACGCTTAATAGGAATCCGTATAATGACCACAGCAATCAAGGCCTCATTAAGTTGATGTGATAGCGCGGCGGCAGCCCTGCGCTATTTAGGTCGGGCGCTCAGAGAGAGCGCGGCTAGCCACCACACATCCTCTAACTGACCACTGGATGCTATCTTTATTTTAGTGAACAATTTGTGCCTCTCTTGCCGCCCGAACGGGCAGTCGAGTGTTCTTTTGACCTTGCGATGGTCAGCGTGGAAATCGAGGGCTCATCAAACATCAAAGGACACATCCATTTTACATGGTAGACTGCAAATTTGGGGGGTAAAATGGAACAACATTAATATCGCTGTAATGGAACCACAGCCAGACAACATGAAGAATGGAACAGGTTTTGTTCAATTTTTTTAAAATCAAATTTCGGAGCAGAACCGTGTCCACACACACAGACAGTTTGTAAGTTACAGATGACGGGTTCGGACGTACATACCTACATATTCACAGACGGTGTTGATTATCATTGGCATCTGCTTAACCGTGTCCGCAGCGGATGTGTAAATAGCGGGACTGTACGAGAAGGTCCATTAGTGCAAAATAGCACCAGTGTCCACAAACGGCCACATTGCGAGCCAAGAGCATCATTACTTGGCCCCGAGATTGGGAGATAAGCACTATCTCCCCCATCCAGTCTGTAACAGCAGCGCTGCGCATACCTCGGCAGGTCTCCGCTGCAATTCTAGTAATCATAGCCATGTATTTTCCCATGAAGAGCTTGTAATCTCTTTCCAATTGGACATGGTCAGCAAGTTAAGACCATCACCCTGCCACCTGCATACCCAGGTATGTTCCCACTTGTGGCCCGGCCAGCCAATTCCTGTGGTGGGTTTATGCTACATACGAGACAAGGCACTCTCCAGAGACATGTCTAGCATTTTAGATAAGTCGCTGTAATCTGGCCCCGGACAGAGACTTTTCGGTACCATATTTGGTCGGGCCCGGGTCTTTGTGAGTTCCATTTTCCAATAAACCTTGAAATATGGATTGGCACTATGGACCCCCAAGGGCAGCTCCAGTCATCTACGGTCCAGTCCCAGATGTGTTTGCACAAGTTTGGGTATTGATTAACTCTGTGTGGGTGCCCAAGTGTACCGACGCCCGCCTGCCTTTCCGTCCTCCCTGGCTTGGATCTGTCTGCTGTGGCCTCTTCTTTCCCCAGGCTAAAGTCTGTTCCTTTCCAGATGCCCGCGAAACTCAGTCATTTGTGTCATCACCGTGCCGTGAGAGCGTCTGTCCGTGTCTGTCTCATCTGTTGGCATACATGTATGCCACTGAATTACTTAGGCAAAGCAAGTCAGAGATAAAGGAAGGACTGCTGCTAAGTATTTCCTTGTCACCCTTGTACAGAACCTTTTTGTTTTAATTGTCAGAAATATTGAAATGTTCACGTCAATCTGATTTACCTCTGATTAATCGCTGTTAGTGTTACCTCTCTGTCCATGTCTCATCTGCTGGCATACATGTACAGTATGCCACTGAATTACTTAGGCAAAGCAAGTCAGAGATAAAGGGATGACTGCTGCTAAGTATTTCAGTGTCACCCTTACACGGAAACTTTTTGATTTCATTGCCAAAAATATTGAAATGTTCACGTCAGTCTGATTTACCTCTGATTAATCTCTGTTACCTCTCATCTGTTGGCATACATGTATGCCACTGAATTAGGCAAAGCAAGTCAGAGATAAAGGAAGGACTGTTGCTAAGTATTTCCTTGTCACCTTTGCACAGAACCTTTTTGTTTTTTAATTGCTAGAAATGTCAAAATGTTTGGGGCAGCCTGATTTTCACTGTTACTGCTAGATCTCCACTACAAATTAATGACAGCAAACATGCGTTTCCAATGTACAGTATTGTATTACAAAAGAACAAATTTGAAACACCTCAAAAACCTCCTTTCCCCTTCAGACACCACGAAAATAAATGAATTTACAGCAGACAATATATCATCCATCGTCTGCATGTGGGACATCTCCTCTGGCTACTTCAGCCTGCTACTATCGGGGAGTGGGAGTGGTGTTTTGTTGTGGCGTATTGATCACTGATTACAAGTACTAGATGGAGAGTTATCCTGCAGTCCTATCTACCTCCAACTCATTATCCCTCTGACAGCTGCTCCAATAGGACACCTCAAGCCTAAGCTACACACCTTCAAAAGTTCCTATGTTGTTGTGCTCTCGTTACATGTTTGTACTCAGTCCAGAAGTCTTCTTGTTTGTTATGATTGTATGTATGACCCTGACTATCAAAGCTAAATATAGTCTTGTCTACCTTGTCTGCAATTTTGTCTGTGTGCTAAGTTCTAGCCCCAAGGCTACGGTAATCTCTCACATATACTTGTATGAGTACATGTATCTACAATGTTGCTGTGAAAATGTCTCCTACAGGATAAGCAGACAGGCAAGGCCATGAAAGCAGTTTTATGTAAATCACAGATACCAACCTGTTTGCATTGCATTAGCCATAAGCTACACCAGCCAGACTCGCGCTAATTTGCCTACATTACCATAAGTGTCTTAAATTGATTTGGAGAGGACTCTTCCTATAGGAAATGTCGGCCATATGGTCGGGGGTGTTCGCGGGCAGCGTCGCGGCATTACCTGCGTGTTAGAACGCTGTCTAACACCGTCGAAATTGCCTTGAAATATGCCATTTCCTTCCCCGGTGCCGGGATAAGTCCTAATGAGAGGCGGGTATTAGTTGCGCCGAAGTAAGAGGCGAGAGAGATAAGGCCACAGCATGAAAGGACCAGCGGTGGCGGCCAGGACTCCCAAGCAGTGCAGAAAGTGGGGCAGATAACCGCAATCTCTCCCAGACCAGGCCCTGTTTATTTGCCTGTCCCTCGGACCCGAAGTCCCCGTTCCTTCATTGGCCTTGAGAAACACCTGCCCGGAGTCACAACCCTGTGCCGAACGGTTACCCGGCCACAAATAGCAAATTTGATTATCCTGCATAGACAGTTTACAGATAATTTGGCATATCTCCCAGCAGTGAAAAGACATATTGAAGGTTGTGCTGGGGACTGTAGATAAGGGTGCTGAGGGTATTAGGCTAGTATCTAGGCCTGACCAGCGCGGTGATGTATGGATGCCACCAGCCCTCTGGGAAGGGCTGATCCCAGTAGGAAAGGTCACTGTTTGTACTGATAGCTTCCAGACACTACATCACCTGCATGTGGCTATTCAAACACTGCCTGGCCCCGGCACACAGTAGCCGCTCAGGCTCTGCATCATTCCGGGCCCTATAAAGCATGGCCAATTGAATCAAATCATTTGGGTATGACACAGGCTGGGACCTCGGGGAGTGACCTGACATTTTATGGTGGAGATGACATACACCCTGTCACTGCGCGGCCCTGTACGGGCGAGGGGTGAATATGGATTTGCCCCCAAATTCATTAGGTATGCTTGTCCGGGCAATAAAAGCGGACTAGCCGGGAGCGGGGACAGTATTCTGAGTAATGACTCAGGAGAGAGTCGGTGGTTTATGCAGGTGTTTATGTGACAAGACTGTCTGGTCAGTGTGTAAATGCCTGGCAGTGCTTGCTTCGCTGTGTCCAGTTTAGGCCTGTTATGATGTGTGGTGTGGGGGTGGGGTGGCTAAGGCCAGGGGTCGGGGCCAGGCCTGTCCAGCTCCGGTGTATATGAAAAATGTCGCACCTTATCAAACCAGTTCCTGTGAAATCAGTGTGTCACCTTGGAGTCTGCCACTGTGCCCTTTCCGGCTATACATAGTAACCATTACCGCTGAGGTGATGATGAAGTTGGTTATCGAGTGCCCACTGCATTCGGGGCTCATCCTCCTTGCCCACGACACTGAATACAAAAATCCGACGCTCGGCGCAAATGGGGTTCGCGTGGCGCCACATTCGGAGGAAGGCAATTTTGTCCCGGGCGGCCGCCGTGTCATAATGTGGCATTGAATAAGTCCAATAATGCTCTGAGCTTCATATGAGAGCGGGGACCTCTGGTGTCAAGGGTGGATATTGTTGACACGGGGAGTCCTATAGCTGCACATTTTATTCATCTCCCGATCTCCACAGGACGTCAGCGCCGCTGCGTGCCGCCGCCTTGCTCCGGGCACGGGCAGATGTCTCTGACACTGTCGTATTCATGCGGCCTAAGTCCCATCCATTTGGCCGGTGCCATTTAACAGGGGATTAGAGGCCGGTTAATGGGTTGGACCCTCCAAGCTCCACCCCCAAGGCGCCGGCCCGGCAGTGCTTTGAGCAATACGAATGGTCATTCCCATTGATGGCCAGCATACTGTTTGTCATGCAATGTCATGTGGAACATTCTGCAATTATGATCACCCATAACGTCACTTAACGCAGAGGAACGTGTTATGCATACCCCAGATGGCATGGGCTATCACACGCGCCGGCCGGACGCTCCTGCCATACGTGTAGCGTCCACCAAGGTGTCCGCAGTGCCTCCGTCGTCGTTGTTGCGTCGTTGTCCGGGTTTTCATCAGCGGACGTCGCCCGTTGTCTAATTGTTGTCTCTCTCTCACCATGATGTTTCAGGCCATCCGCTGCACGCTGCCGGCCTGCCAGTGTGAGTGCTTCTCGCCGGGGAAGACTCAGCTGCGCACTTGTGAAACCTGCAAGCACGGATGGGTCGCGCACGGTAACGTACCACTTTTCTTCCCGTTTTTTCTCTAACCCCAACTCCTGTACTGTAGTAGTGGTGTGTGTCTACTGCATGTAGAACTACAGAACGAATGCCTGTTTTTAACGGCTTGCCTGCATGCTGACCCCACGGTAGATATTGCTGTACATTACCCGATGTAATAGCTGGACATTGCATGCAATAATGTTTCCGATCACGGCTCATTACCCCTTTGATCCTTCTCCATTCGATCCGTGTCCTGCCCAAGTTTTAACCCCGTTCTGTCGCGTCCTTTCCTCACTTCCTCTAATTGATCAAAAGTTTCTCCGTGATGGGGCTGTATGCGATTAATAATGAACAGCGGTGCAGGTACTTTAAAAGAAAACTAATTGCCGTCCCGAAGGTAGACCCGTGTGCTCTCTCGCCGGCCGGTCGGTCAGCCGGCCGGGGCATTAATGGTAAACAGGTAGCCTTTCCATTCCGACCATTAAAGTCATAATAGACTTGTACAAGTTGTAGCAGGACGTGATTTTCTAGTCGAACAAGTTCAATATTGGGCACAACTATCTCCTTTGTGTTACGGTATCGGCACCTGTGTTGAAACTGGAACTTGTTAGGACCAGCATACGATGTACATGTGAGTTACAGTTTAGCCAGGCCCTTTGGCAGTACGCTCCTACCAGCCTGCTAGACAGTGTTTGTGGACGTATTGACAGATTTTCCCTTTTCACAACAACTGACCACTGGTTTCCGTTTGTCGTCGACAACATTTACCGGGCGTAAACAAGAAGGTGGCGTGTTACCGCAATCGCACCACTGCACCGAGGAAAAAAGTAGGCCAAGTTATAATTGATTGCGGATCACATGGATTCAAATCTGCTCTCCGCTTTCCTGGTAAACTGATACACCTGTAAGGAGAGAAATTAAAAGCGAGTATAATACATGTAAATGGCAAGATGGTTCAATACTCTAGGCTTCGTCAAAGTCAGGGCTGGAAATATTGGGTGCATCTGCACTTTTTTGCACCAAAAATTGGAGCTGTGCTCCTAATTTTTGACTGTTGTTACACTGTACAGGCACTGTTGTACACCAGTCTAGTACATGTAATTATGCAATAAATGAAATATAAGAAATAATAAAATCTTTGTTATATTACCTCTTTAGAATTTAGATATTTGGCTATAGAATGTTACATATTATCATAAGCAAATTTTTCGATGGATTTTGGTTAACAAGGCAAATTTCAGCAGGAGAAATTCACTGAAAACTCATTAAAAAAAAAATATATCTGGGGCAAGAATTGTAATAAGTGATAGTCTCGATATTAACGATCCATTGTTTTTCTGATCGGCTCTAGAAGTGCATTGGAGTATACAATGTCATGCAAATCAGGTTTTCATTCATTCCAATTGTGTTCTGTGTATAATTATGGGTTCACCACACCACGAAGTGGTGTGGTGAAACCATATTGCTTTTTCTGATGTTTCTTCTCCTTCTCCTTCTCCTCCTCCTCCTCCTCCTGCCATATCTTTAAATGGATTCAGCTTCTTCATTTTAGGGCCTAAGGTCCTGAAATTTGGTATGGAGGTACAGTGGGCAAATACCCCTAGGCGTTTTTTAAATTATTGTGATACAGGCTTTTAGAATGGTTTTATTTGAGTTTTTTGGCTGTGTTATAGCAAATGTATTACTGTGTTAGTCTGCCTTGTTTACCACGTTTGGGCATGAGTCATCAGAATGGAATGCAGGGCATCAACCAATAGGCATGCAGCTTTCCTCTATACTTCTTGCTGATTGGCTGTTGGGATTTAACTTGATTAACACCTGCACAGAAGCATTTCCATACTGACAGTATGTCTGTATTCAAGTGTTTTGGTAGGTATTTCAAGCTTTCCTGCTCCAGCATTGGAATGCCGGGCATGGACGTTTTTTTTTTATTTTGAAAATCAACAGTTTGCATTATGCAATTAAAATCCTAACCAATAAAGTAGGGAATAGCTATCCAACTGTTGTTTTAGTTGTATTTTACTTCATATTATAGTTATATCAATGTAAATCATTGTTTTCCCTTGTGTTTCCCATTCTTTCCCTGCCATGTCGTAAAATGTGGTGAACCCATCGCTGTATTTGCTCCAAAGCAAATATTGGCCTTTCTAGTTGTACTAGTTCTTCTGATCTCAACAACATAGGCTTTCGAAAAACAATAGTCTTACCTTTGTAGTTTTGAAAGTAACAGCCAAGTTCTGTCAAATAAGAGCCAGAAACTGTGTTCCTCGTTCTGCTTTTGAAAGGGCCATTTTGTTAGATGTTATTGTGTTGATTTTATTTTTGTGTTTGCCTGTTTGTGTCTTTGTTCATTTGTTCTGTGTTACTAAATGAAGGTTCTTTTGAGAGGGAAAATATAAATAATTTCAGGAAAAAGAGGTACACTAATTGTTTCATTTCTCTCCAAAGACCATACGTATCATGGACGTTATGAACACATGCATGTCCATGTTACATTTTCTGTTTTATGTTTCTTGATACAATATACGGATTGCTCTTTTATTTTGAACTTCAATCATATACTGCATGTATGCCAGCATTTAAAACCGGATCTTTGATGACATAAACTTTAATGTAATAATAGTTTTAATCAACAATACAATATACCACATGCTAACCAAATTAATAGTGAACTGAATTTCTTGTAGTACAATACTTACACTTTTTGTGCTCATACCAGACCAAAGTTTAAAATGACAATATGATAGTCTCTCCTACCTAATAGTTGAGGATTGATAAACTAAGTCTTACTTTTAATGAATGAAAGACCTTTATTGTACGCTTGTGCTCTAACGAGCTAAGTACAGGTCATGGGTAGACAGGGAAAAGAAAACAGTAATGACACTTACATACTATATAACCTAATGCGATCTACTATTTACAGGTTCAGCTTCTTCTCGCTTCTTTACGCAGTTAAAGATGTACGAACATATTGAGCTAATTATACATGGTTTGTCAAGTTTCATGAGGAATTCGAATTTTTCTATTATATCTAAATGTCTAAAGCTTGGGAACTTATCTATTACATAAGTATAGAGGGAATCCCTCTCATTTCTATATAATGTGCAGTCAACTACAAAATGGCATTCATCTTCAATATAATCTAGATTACAAAATTGGCAGATCCTTTGCTGTAGAGGAATGTGGTTGTGTCTTCCCTTTTCTATGTGGAGTTTGTGTGAACTTATCCGGAGTTTTGTGATGGCTGTTCTGTGTCGAATGTTTGTAATTCTCAGATATTTTTCCTCATGGTAAGTATTTTTTAGTAATCTATATGTTCGTAATTTGTTGTTGTTACGAATTTCTGCTGTAAAAGTTTGGAAATACATGTCTTTTAAACGTTGATCAAGGGATGGAATAATTTGTGAAGAATTTAAGACACACGACATCGGCGAATTCCATACGTAGGCAAAACCACACTCCTCTAGGGTCTTGCGGACTCCCGAAGCCCAGCATTTAGCGCCGGATGCATCCAGTTCAAGTTGACATAATAGAGCGTCTGCTGAGAGACTATCAACCGGCACGTTCTGGCGTATTCTGATATAGTGTTTAATGGCGTTCAGAGATGCTTCTAGTTTGAGGGGATTA